TTGGCCGAGGAAATTTTTAAGGGACCCTCAGCGCCGGACGGTGTCTCACCCCTCTTTCCCCCCAGCATCGGTTGGTGTTTCAGTCAGTGTCCCTCTCCTCCCCCCCTCCCAATGTCGGTCTGTGTCTCTCCAGGGTATGTTAACCTGCATAAAGCAATTTAAATCAATTTAAATGGATTTTATCATAAATTAAACATTTTCTAATTTCATGTCAAAATGTTGGCAATGCAATGCACATTAACAGGTCTTATGGCACAAACACGTCCTTACAGAGACAGTAGAAAACCTATTTGTGCGGATTGGTGGGTTCTTTTCAAAACTTGCCAATCAGCAAGTTTCAAGGCTAGCATTAACTGCAGGGCTCCTCACTTTGATTTGGTGGCATGCATATCAGCTTAGGAAATCCATACATTTTCAATGTTGGTCACACCTTGCACCAGTCAAGCTTCAGAAGAGCACTGAACAGCTATGTATTTCTGAGGCTGGCATGCATTATACGAAAGAAAGGTGAATGCTGTTGAAACATCTGATTATTATTGTTATTATTATTATCATCATCATACAGGATTTAAATGGTGCCAACAGTTTGTGCAGCGCTTTACAATAAGGAAGACATTACCGTTACAATACAAATCAAGGCAACATGGTAAGGAGGGTCCTGCCCGTGAGAGCTTACAATCTAAAATTGGCAAGTGCTCCAAGCAAGAAGACCCCTATCATTATAGAGTATGTGAATAGGCTTCTGTTTACACTTTAAAAGTGGAACATGTCTTTAACTCCTTTATTTCCAGGGAAATGTTATCCTTTGTGATAAGACAAAATGTAAAATTTAAAGCCTAACTCTGCATATTTTGTAGACCTGTCATCCATCTCATATCCTCCCACTCCTATCATTCAAAAACGCACCAGTGCTGTGCTTCGTGAATGACACAGCAGAGGGAGAGGGCACAAGCATAACAATTGTTTTTTGTCACAGACATCGTTTCTATGCAGCGGAAGCAAGAAGTGTGACCCCTATGCTATACTTTCCAGCATCATCCCAGTGGGGCTTAGTAACTTCTATGTAAGACCCCTTTCTCACTGGTGGTCTTATAAGGTCCACCTGAAAAAACTGACAAAGTCTAATGTAACTCTTTGCTCAGCTGGATGTAAACGTACACTGTCTAGGTCCGGAAAAAAAACTGAACAGAGTTCCTTTTTGGCGCATTTGATCATGATGGATCGGGGGGTAATTGAAGTTAAACAGACACATGCTGATCTGAACGGACGCCGTGAAAGGGGCCTAAGTAAAAATCAATTATGAATCATATAAAATATTTAAGAATGTTAAAAACACTCTGTCTGGAGTTTGATTGTAACCATTCCTTTTCTATTCCCATCCAAAGTTTAATGGTAGTAGTAAACCCTTTTTGTTTGGAAAGCATAATGCTCGTCACCAGAGCTACAATAAAATTTTAACAAATTGCAAATACCTTTTACAATCTTTAACATGACCACTATTCCCCATTCTTTCCGAGTTCCATGATGTTGGGCAGAGACTGCACTCTTGATTGCGGAGCCTCTTGTAAGAACAGCTTACAGTCAGTCAAGCAGGTTGGACTGAATGGGGGTGTACCAGGCTGTGACATCACAACCAGCCCTGCCCTTCTTGCAGAAGCCACTGTTAGAGCCATCTCCATCTCCACACAATGGAGCTGAGAGAGGAAAAGGAAATGATTACAGGCACTGTGCCTTGTATGTCTCGGGGAGGAAGCAAAGATGCAAACTGGCCATGTACAGATTTGTTTCTGTGCTTAGTGTGGTCAGGAAGGGCTTCCTGCACAAGGTGACTGGCAGGACCATCAGGTATTTATGGAGCCTTATACCCCTTATTTAAATTAAAGATATACGTATTTTAATTGTGAGGGACAAAGAAATGTAGTCCCTAATTTTAATAATTAAGGTTAATATACACTTTAAACAATGTTTGTGCTTACATATACATTAACAGTTAAGGTCAGAATAAATGCAAAGGGTTGAAGAGGATTAGGTTAAGGGTAGTGTGTTAAAATGGAGTTTAGGAGTTAAGAGTTTAGAGTGAACATTCAGGTTACATTTTGGGAGTATTTTATTGTTAGGGATACTTTACAAGTTAGGGGCTGTCAGGAGAGCACTTGCTTTTAGCACAATAGTCAAACAGATTGATTCCTGATTTTCCCTCCATGATCCCGGTCTGCAAGTGGTAGAGTGCACAGTGTAATTGTGAATGGGTAAAGTGACTAGCTAATCATGGCCAATACAAATTGGGGACCAGTTATTCTTGATCTACTGTTGAGGACCTGACTGCTAATAATAACCTTTTACCTAGGATGGGTGCTCACATTTGGGTGCACAGCTATAAATAAGATTGTTAACCTTCCTTCTAGCATGGTGAACTTGCTAGGGGGCTGCTGCTTTACAACTACAAAGTCAGGAAGAAGGTAAAGATTAAATGATTAAAACTGCTGGAATTTGTTGCTAGTCTTATTGCTGCTTTCTATGACTGAATGGAAACCCAGGGTGTATAAATTCCAACAACTTTCACACTTCTAAATGATATAAAGTGCTTCTCAAATCTGTTTTTAAAAGTTTCTTTTTTCACAGTTTCTACCTCTAGCATATTTAATATGTAATCTTAATTTTCTCTGTTATAGAAAATTACATTTATTTATTTCCTGTTTTTTTTTACTGTTCTGTGTACTGCTGGACCTCTCTAGTTTTTTAGATTTTATTGGTTGCATAATCGACCCATGGCTTTAGCAGATCCATTTGTTTTTTTTACAGTAATGACTGCAGAGGAGATGGATGTTATTGTAGGTAAGACAGTGTTTCTCTACCATCTTAAAAGTAGTAATAAACTCTCAAACTTTTTTCACAAAAATTAATCCAGATCAAACAAATATAAATTTTTTTACTTTTGACATTTTTCCCCAAGCACTTAGTCATCATGTTTCTGAACAGCTGTTTCCAATTGTCTCAGCTCAACTTCCCTGAACTTCTTGTCCAGTAGTAGATCGCAGGGAATAGCACAGTCTTTAAAAGCTGTCCATTTACTAACTCAAATGAATGAAGGAAGCAGAAGAGAGAAGAGGGCAAGGAGGAGAAGTATTGGAGTGGATTGCCTTGCTGTGACTGTGTGTTTGTGGAGACACACACATCTTACTAGCACATACAAGGGTGACTCCGTAGGACCCTGCAAGGAAAAAGAGCCACCCTAAAACAGGATATCAGGTCCAGTGCTCTGGGACCATCTGATTCTGCAGAAAACTAAAACATTTAAACACCAAGGAGCAGCATCCATCGTAAGTGAATAAATAAGCATTTGAAAAAGCTTAAAACATGACTTTAATATCAAGAGGTAAATCAGTGCATGCAAAGAATTTTGAAGATTCTTTGTTGTCTTTAGCTACCCCAACAAACACATAAATGCACAGGCATAATACCAGAATCAGACAATAGTAGATACACAGCTATATCATGAATTAAAGCCAGTCTCAGGACACCAAAATTAAATAATTTGAATAGACTTTAACTTTAAAAATAAGTGATCTGAGATTTTAAAATGAATCTTATGATGCAGCCCAGCCGCCAGAAAATACCATTTTAGTTGGTCCAGCTATAGTACATTCTAATAAAATCACATTCTCCCGTGTTCAGTATGACTACAAGTGATGTATCAGTGACCATAGTTATATGCATAATGGAGCTGCTCAGACGGTCATTCACCTGTGTGACAGTCAGACAGGTAAATAGCAGTTACAGTGGTAAAGTGTGCACTCAGCTATTCTAAACAGCAGAAAGCCAGCTGCTAAGACAGGGCTTTTTAGATTGTGTAGGATATATGCCTTTCACTTAGGAAATAAAAATGTGCATTCAACTTTAACATAATAACATTTTGACTAAACTGAAAAAAAGGTGTGGGGTATTTAAATGGTGTGAACACATAAGAATCTATTTTTCTTCCTGGAGCCCTTGACAAAGCTTTGTCATTTATTAAGAGCAAATGGAAATGGTGTGTTAATACTTACAGGAATTCCTTCCTTCAGATATGTCACTTTGAATTTTGTTTTCTGAAAGAAAAAAACCTAAGAAAACCTGTACTGAGAGAATCTAGAGGCTCTCATTGCCGTCGCTTCCTTTTAAAAATATTCAAGATTGTAGAAAAGCACTGCTTATGTATTTATGTTTTGAAATTGTATTGTAAACAATGTGCCCAGCTGTCAAGATGATCCTGTGGCTTCCTGAGGTACTGACCTTAAACAAATAACCAGATGATAAATTCTGACTTCACTCCTACTATCTAATCTGCATACTTGTTTCTGGTCAGTGACTAAAGCAGGTTATACACCGTTATATTTTCTTCATTCAACCTTGGTGCTCAACGAAGAAAATATAACAGATTCCTCCATCAATGTTTAGAGCGTGGATGAAGGAATCCACTGCTGTTTTGCATTATATTCTGACAGTGGCCACTGGCTGTTGTCAGAATGTCTGAACGGAGCTTGCAGCTGATTGAGAATTTTCCAACCTGCTCTCTCGATCAGCTGATCTCGAGATGCTGGCAGAAGGGTGCTCACAGGGGCACCCGGTTTGCAAATGTCAGCTGGTATATCAATAACTGGCCAAAATGTACACTGTGTATAAACTACTTTAAGCTATTAAAAGGCAGAAACAGTCAGATAAGTAGTATTCTTAGAAGGAGGTCAGCAATGGCAGCCCTGGTACTTATTTCAGTTCATGTATTCTTTTAAGATACTAGATACTGCATGCATGTTTGCTCCAAGCAAATCCGTTTTTCCCAGTTAGTGCTTAAATGCTAAATACAGTATGTGCCTTGCAGTGTGTGTTTTACTAATGAAGTACATAAAATATGCTGTAACAAAAGAATTAATGATTTAGTGAAAGCTGTAATGATTATTGCTACTGTGCTATGCATACTGATAATTCTTCATGTCACTGTAAGTCTCTCTTTATCTCTGCAGGCATTTCCTCTTCAAGCATGGATCTGGTACTTCTCCCATCTTCAGTGCTGCCAGTCAGAACTACCCTCTGACTTCAAATACAGTGTACTCTCCTCCTCCAAGACCTCTGCCCAGGAGCACTTTCTCCAGGCCTGCCTTCACCTTCAACAAATCATATCGTTGTTGTAACTGGAAATGTACTGCCTTGAGTGCTACAGCAATTACAGTAACATTAGCCCTGCTGCTAGCCTACGTTATTGGTAAGAGTTCTGTTCCCTTTCAATACAACTATCTAGTATCAATTATATATTCCTTCTAAATAAGTTTTCTTTATGTAGAAGCTTCTTAAATAACATTTATGGATTGATTTGTACAAGTTTCAGAAACATATTCAAACTGAATATATTTATTTAAATTAGGAACATACTAAAGAACAATATTTCTCTTTCACATTCATTGAAAGACACATGATTCAGAGACAAATGAGTTATACTGCTGCCTACAGGAGGATTTGGATACTGGAAATAAAAAAAACAGTGACCAGCCAGTTAAATCCCTCCCACTCCCAGCATGTCTCAATTTTTTGATAGCGGCATAGGAGAATTTACATATTTTGTCTGTTGAGTTGAGTGTAACCATTTTTACTGACCATTTTTTACTTTTTTTTTAAAGAAAACATTTTCATTTTTTTCTTCAGTCAACATTTTCCTACATACTGCTTGAGCTGGTCTCTATATGCAACTATCCATATTAGCATATCCTCAGCAATAGCTTTGGAGGCCTAACTGCTGGACTGGACAATTTTGGGGCCAGCCTGGAATGTGTCTTGTGACACTGAAATATTGATTAGGACCTTTGTTTAGGGTTTCATGTACCCCCCTCCCCCTGTGCCTCACGTTTTTCCCTGTTCTGTGCGATCTCAGATTTTTTCTTTGTTCTCTTCAAAAGCTGCATTTCCCTTTCCACTCTTACTCATAATGTTGCCCTCCTCACCATCACCCCTAGAATCCATGCTTCTGAGTTGGCAGCCTTGTCCTGCAAATAATCTTTTTTGGCCCTATATTAGAACTTGGTGGTGTTGAGGCCCAGGGTGGTTTCAGCCTTTCACCTCAACCAGGACAGTGTTCCTCTGTCCAGCTTCAGGGTATAATTTCTCCATTGTCCAGATCTAGTACATGCTGTATGTATTTATCTCACAGCAACTTCTTCCATTAAAATAACTTACTCTCTTTTTATCATACCCATCCATCTCCATAAAGGGAACCTGCATCTCATTCCATCATTTCACTTTGGCTCAGACAGATCATTATCCAAGCTCATGGGTAAGGTTCCAACCTTTTCTATTAGGCACACTGTATCAGATCTGTGAGTGTTTTTAGGGCTTTCCTGCATCAGGCTACTTTATCCTTGGTTTGCAAGTCTGCCACCTGGTTCTCTAAGTTTTCCAGGCGGTAAACTCTTTGAGCTGCAGGCAGCCCTAGGTTTTGTTATGTGGGATTGTTAGTGTTTTTTTGCTGTTGCCCACCCCTCAGTTGGATTGCTTTTGGATGTCCCAGTTGTCCCTGAATCATGTGTCCCTCAATGTATGAGAATGATAATTTGATTTTTCTACTTACCATAAAGTCCACTTCTTGGCATTCATTGAGGGACATTAATGTTCCTCCCGGTATTTAACAAAAAAAATGCATGGTAATGGGAGGGGGTTACACCAGCTGGCCACTGTTTTTTTGTTTTGCCAGTGTCCAAGTCCTCCTGTAGATGGCAGTATAACCCAAAGGTCTCTGAATCCTATGTGCTGTAATGAACTCCAAGAAACAAATGTTACGATTTGGAAAAAAAATTAAATTGAGCAGTCAGAAATCATTTTATGCTTCTTTAAGTATCAGAATCTTTGTATACATATTCATGAATGTCTTTATCAGACATTTATATTTAGATGTATTAGTATGTTTAATTGACAGGAAATAACATTTTATTAAATTACTTCCCCCCTCAATATTACTAGTGATTTCTGCTACTGGACTTCAAGATTGTTTTCTCACAGAGACAATGTGGGGGTCACATAACATGACTGCTAGTTCTGTTATCTATGGGAATGCTGTTTTTTGGTAGCCTGTGTTGATGCAGCAACTTACCGTTTTATCAATCTGTGGTGAATTATTTCCCTATATTTTCATTTTAAATGAACAACATAATAGTATTAACCTCCCTGGCGGTATTCCCGAGTGTGGCTCGGGAGCCTGCGGTGTCCTCTGCTGTGTTCGCCCGGCCGATGCCGGCATTCGTCTTTCAGTTTCGTTTTCGGGCGTCACAGCGGAGGGCGGAGCCGGCGGGAAATTCTAAAGTGAAAACATGACATTTACACAGAATACACACAATACAATGTAATCTACATATATTTATCAAACTATTTCACTTCAATTTTGTCCCTAGAGCTTTGTCCAGTGCCCTGCCTGCACTTTTACTGTACTCTATTGACTGTGGTACGGATCAGGAAGCGCCCCCAGAATTCCCATTTACTGGA